AATAGCAATAAGAAATTGTTTTTCTGGAGAAAGCATATTTAGGCCCGTATTCATAGTCGATTCTTATTTTGAAGATTGCCTTAAGGTTAAGCTTAAGACATCTTCTAGATTCATAGTTGATAAATGAGCTATTACTTCAGCAAAGTCTTAAGGTATAACTTGTCAAAGATGATCTTATTTTAAAGCATCTAGATGTGATTCATAAACAGATCTCATTTGATATAAGCATAAATTTAAGGCTACCTTAAGACTAATGAATTCATAGTTGTTTAGGATGGTCTTATTAGTTATATATATACTTACAAAAGATACATTTTCGTCAAGTCGAGGTAAAAGTGGTATTAAGATTATCTTATTTGTTCTATTTTTTAGAGAGAGTGTGTGACAAATTATTTTATTTAATATGGAAGTTGAAAATATTAGAAATATTGAGTTAAATGAAATCGAAGTCATTGATATTGATGATGATGACAATAATGTGCGTGTTCCAAAAAGATATATTAGAGATTGGATCAATCCATTTCAGTTTTATAGCAATCGAGAGTTTAAAAGACGTTTTAGATTTAATAAAGAATCTATACTATATGGAATTTTGCCTAAAATTGAAGAAGGACTTGCAAATATTAATAACCGCGGTCTTCCTGTACCTCCGGTGTTTCAAGTGTTAATTTGTTTAAGATTTTATGCCACAGGCAGTTTTCAGGTTAGAAAATACTAAATAATAAAATATTATATATATATGTATAATTATATATAATATTATATATAATTGTATATAATATTTATATATATAATTATTATAATAAAATATCAACAGTTTTTAGTATGTACAAATTTTTTAGTGTATTTTTTAGTGTATAGAATTTAATACTTTTTTTAAAGTTATATTAATATTTTTTACAGCAAGTACTTGGAGATACTATAATTGTGTCACAGCCAACTGTGTCAAGAATAGTATTTCGAATATCTGTACTTTTAGCAAGGATCTTTAATCAATTTATAAAGATGCCTTCTGTACCAGATACTATAAGAGAAAACCACAGACTTTTCAGAGATATAGGACGTCGTGATAGAGGTATTGGTTTACCTGGCATCGATGGAGCTATTGACTGTACACATGTACGTTTAACTGGTACCAGATTCCACAATATCGATGAAATTTATAGAAATCGAAAGGGATATTTCTCATTAAATGTACAG